ATGCAGAAAGCTCCTTCTGTTTTTTAATCTGGTCATTTTTATCCAACTTCTTTCATTTTATGATGCTGACATAGATTTTCAATTAAGTTATTGGTAACATTAATTATGGTGAGGATGATCGGGAGGACAAAGTTCATCTAGAACTTCTCCAATGACATCTCTGAGAGCAGTGTTAAGGACTACCATCAGATGCTCAAGGATGACAACTGCAGCCTTTTCAGAGTGGCATGCTGTTGTCAACTTCTACTGTGACAGTGACAAAAATGTTCCTAAAATCAGGAGAGAAACTACACTTAAAATAAGAAGTTAAAAGAGAAACTGTATGTTAACCTCATGGAAGTCAAAGAGGATTTTGAGAAATCCTAAATGTATGCCTGACTGCAATTTAGTAAGCTAGGATGGATTAAACATATTTAATAGGATTAAAAAATACCTGGCTGAAATGCACTATAAACATCAGGAACAAGACAAAGATTTCCACCATAACTGCTACTAGCATAATTCTACAAGTTCTCTAGCCAACAGATTAAGAAAAATAAGATATAAATATTAGAAATGAAGAAACAAAAACACATTTTTTATGAAATTTTTATGGGTGTATTTATAAAATACAAGCGCACCAACTGAAAAACTACTAAACTAAAAATAATTAAGTTAAGTGGCCAAAAAGTTAATATATAAAAGTTAATGGTCTTCCTATGTTATACACCAATAACCAGTTAGAAAAATCTAAAAGGGGAACAATAATTTTCACAATCTGAACAAAAGCACAACATCCCTGGGAATAAAATTAATTTAATTAGTTAAGCAAATAACTATAATTTTATTGAGAGACGTAAGTTACTTCATTCTTTCATATATTCATTAAATCATTTTTTTAACAAGACAGACATGGTCCCTGCTCTCATAAAATTTGCTTTTCATTGTTATCAACAACTAGAAAAATTACATATATGGATGAAAAGGTACAAGTTGTAAAGACACAATTCTGTTCAAAGTAAGCTACGAATCTAATGAAATTACAATCAAAACCCAAAAGTAAACTTTGAGGAAACTTGACAAAATATGGAAATAAAAATATGCAAGAAAAGCCACTTTTCTGGAAAAGCACAGCACTAGAGGAGGCTTACTCTAACTGCTGTTAAAACACACAGGGATTAAACAGTGAGAAACAGAAGGACAGTGGAAGCAGCTTTGGATCAGAAGCAGACTGAAGTAGATCCGAGAACCAGGTATGTAACACAAGCCAGTGTTCCACAGGAGAGGGAAAGGCTGGAGCTTGCATCAGCTCCAGGCAGGGGAGAGGGGGCACACAAAACGGTGTGCTTGATGTGAATGTAAAGAAAGGCTATCGCAGTGATGCGGGCAGGGTTAAGGGAAGCCACAGGGATGGTCTGGACCTCCAGAGCCATTACAACCCCAGAGCTGAAAGGTCGGGCGGGGTGGGCGTAGAAGGAGCTCTGGAAACCCAGAGAGGTTTCCACCCTGAGGCAGGCACCCAACAGCCACCAGGTCCTTCTCTACTGGAATGACAAAGGACACCAGATGAGGGAGCTGGGAAATAAATGTCCTGACTTGCCTCTCCTCTTACCCTCTCATCTCCTGCTGGTGCCTCTCCCCCGGGGCCACACCCAATAGGAAGTTCCGGAGCAGGAGCCTTTTGGTGCCTCCCTGACACAGAACAAGATGGGGGCTGGGGGTACACGGAGGGAAATGGACACTATCCAGCACCATGGATGGATTCTTTATACATAATTTGAGGGAAACAGGCAACCTATTTGGTAAAAATAAAAGCTATAGCTCTACATCACATTTTTTCCCTCAAAACAAATTCTGGATAAGTCAAAATTTTAAACAAAGCAGTAGATGAAAAAAATAATAAAGTATTATGTCATCCTGGGTGGAGAATGCCATTCTGAACATATCATCATAGAAGAATTATAAAGGAAAGAACTGATAAGTTTAGCAACATGAAATCCGTATGCTAAAAATATATATATTATACTTTATAAACTGGTAATTGCTTATATAACAAAAATTAAAGAGAATGTATCAAGAAATATTTTATATATATATACAAATTATATATATATAAAACCAAGGGATAATATCCTTCATATATAAAGAACTTGTCTAAGAAATAAGAAGAGCAACACTATGGAAAGCAGAAAAGGACAGGAACAGTCCTTTTGAAAAGGAGAAACATAGGGGCATATAAACATCCATGAGAATGTATTCAAATCTAGTGCTGATCAAATAAATGCAAATTCTAATATTAATCGTTTTTGCCTAATTTCACAAAAATAAAAAAAGATATGTTTAAAAACCAACCTAATGAATGATACCCAACTGGTTATACAAGCAAAGGTGCAGGAAGATAACAGTCACACATTGGTAGAAATATAAGGCAGGACCATGTCTGGTGGGTAGGTAGGTAATATGTATCTTAGACCTACCAAATTCACATCTACAAGTTTATCCAAAAGGAATATTTGGCAAAGTATGCAAAGATGCTCAGTGAGAGCTGCTGAAAACAGCCTAAAGAATGAGATTAATTGCTACCTGGTTTAGCAACTACAATACAAGCAGACACCATGCTCAGTTCAAATGGACAGAATGAGACACACCCTTGTGAGGCAGGCCCCTGGTCACAGGAAGAGACCCAGTGTCCAAAGGTTAAGTGCTGAGCAAATTACAGGGCCCCATGGGGAGGTGTGGTGGGGCTGTAAGGGGTCTTTATATGTCTTGGTATTTTCTGAACATTGAACAATACATAATCAGAAACATACTTAATCAGAAACATAAATAATGCTGTATTTAAAAGCAAAGAAGAAAATTTGAATTCTCTGGAAAAGGTATTTATTTTGACAGTGCTTTTTAAGGAAGTTGTTTCAAAGCCCATTTACTTAAAATAGAACAGAATTATACTGTGAAGCTTCACTGACCATTGAACATCACACAGATACACACAGATCTGAAAGACAACTTGAGCTGCCCGAATACAGTCAGTCAAACTACCTCTGTGGCGCCTGTTACTCTCTAGCACGATGTGGAAGGTAGAAAATGGAATGTGACCCCAAAGTTCTCATTTTTCTACGACTGACATTTGTAGTCCCTTTTAGGCTAAAATGACAAGGTTGGAAGCCTCAACTGAATGGCAGTCAGCCATGCCCACAACACATGATTTTTTTTCACTGGGTTTAATGCAGAATTCAGCACATGACATGTTTGGATCCTTACAGATGCCAGTAAAATTCCTAAATTTCTCCAGAGCCTCCCTTTAAAATATCTGTTACTTCTGCAGTTCTGGCACCGAGCTAAACCAAAAGACACTGTTCTACAAAAGCAACTCAGACACAAGGGTTGTCTTGAATCTCACAGACCTGTGGCAAATGTGATTATCTCCAAACTTGTTTGGCTTGGGAAACTTGGCATAAAGCTGTGGCTCCTGGACTGTTCTCTACCCAGAAAATCAAATCTCTGGTGATCCTGGCTCCTGCCAGATCACCAATGTCTACTCTCAAACTCTAAATAAAACAGACCCCAAGCTCAGAGACCAGGACCTAGATTTAAATAAGGAAGCAGTCAAAAAGACTCTGAATAAAAGGGCTTATGTCAAGCGACTCAGTCTGCTCCAGAATGGTGAGGTGCAGAAGCTTCCAAAGCATTAACCAGTTGCTTGGAAATGGACAGATTTTATAGTACCCCAAATGCCACATGATGATTTTTTTTCTTTTCTAAACTAAAAGTAGTCCAAGATGAGTCAACTAACAGGATTACTGTGAAAAGAAACTATTCTTCTAAGCGTTTTTCATGATGCTGGGATTAATTCCCACAAACTATGCCGGTGCTGGAAAGCTTAGACAGAGACAGGCACTACCTTGCACCCCTTTCTCCTTTCTCCTCCTAAATGGAAGCTTGAGATGATTCATTACAACTCAGAGCGATGGAGCTGGGGAGAGGAGAATATTTCGGCCATGGGGAGGTCGCTCCTGGCCTGGGCCTGGGGGTGAGGCATCTCCAGGTGCCTCCATCAAAGCTCCTCTCCCACTTCCCATCTGAATCCCCCGCTGAACCACAGGCCCTCAAGGCTGAGACATTACCAGCATCCAGCACAGTGGGAGGCATAGATGGGCCTACAAGTATCAGCTGCTTCCAGACAGACACACACTCAAGAGGAGGCCAGATATTATTCACCTTTAAAGAGATGAATTAATAGCAAGGTATATATGAATTATATCTCAGTAAAGCTGTTTTTTTTTAAAAGAGGGAAGTAAGGATGGAAAGAAAGCATGAAGGGAGGAAAGGAGGGAGGGAGGGAGGGAGGAAGGAAGAAAGAGAGGAGGCCAGAAATTATAAGAGGGGGGGGAAAAACCCATAAACTATAACTATTCAAGTGTTTAAGGACAGTGAACCAACATCTTTGATTTACATTGAAATGCATAAAAATATACGATGGACTGACATAAAGATGCAGGTTTGCACAGATGGACGAATATGTGATAAAGTTAACTATAGCAAAATGTTCTTGGTAGCATCTAGGTAGTGAGAATAAGTTCACTGCAAAATTCTTTCAATCTCTCTGTAACTTTGGAAATTTTCATAACAAAATGTTGGAGAAGAAATAAGCTATTTTTCCAAAAACATGGTCTAAATCAGTTACAAAATTCAAGAAAAAAGATACTAAATTAGGATACAATTTTACAATTCCAAACCATGTCCACCATAGTCCCTCTTCGACTTAGCCTCCTTGGGGAGGGCCAGCCCAGGTTTCTAACCCACCCTCTCAGGCACAGGAGGAGCCTCAGAGTGACCAAAGACAAGAACAAGGACATGAAAGAACCACAGAAGGTTCTCTGTATGGGCTTGCTGAGGGCACTCAGGGTAACCCTGCAAAAATCAACACTTGGCCCACTGAACCTAAGGCCACTTGCAAGGGAGATACAACTTTTATTTTTCCATTTTAAACAGTGAGTCCAGGGCCCACTGCTTTGGATTACCTTGAGAACGACTGAAAAGTCCACATCCTTGGTTTCCTTCAGGCCAAGCGGAATCAGGGGAATCATAAATGCCTCCCTATAAGGAACACAGAAAAGTATATGAACATGCCTATCAAAGTATATGAACCTGGCACTCTACAGCCTTCTCCCAGGAGCCCAGCTCAGGTCCCCATCAGTGTCCTCATGCTAACCAGCACACACCAGTTCATTTCCTGTGAAGACCATTCCAGTGGTCGTGTGCTTGTCTCTGTTGTAAACCTGATCCCAGGGCCCTGCAATTTCTGTATTACCCAGCCCACATGAGGGCCTCCCACCTTGACTCCAATTTACCCCTCCAGTCTCAGTCATTCTTTCAGTAACTGTGCTGAGAACCTACTGAATGCAGGGTCTATGTCTGGTACACTCACTGCTTCCCCACCCTACTAGTGGACCTCCTCTGTCAGCCCCCAACTCCACCCTCCTCCCCCTCCTTTCCTCACTGCAGAGGGTCCCATCCCTCCCATAGCCTCTAACCCTGGGCTCTCAGGGGCAGCCTCCTATGGGGCTTAACCTCCTGGTGATCCTTCACCTACACAGGGAAGGGCCTGAGCACAAGGGCCCCATCTGACAGAAGTGCACCTATTTCCCAGGCCAGGGTCAGGCCTTGGCCAGCTGCTTCCCCTCCACCTCCTCTCCCCTGCCTGACCACTTGGTTATCCCACAGGTGGCCCAAGAGCACGCCCTGATCCTAGGGACAGGGCTAACAGGAAAACAGGAAGTGAGCAGAACTCAGACTGTGTTTTGCAAACATGGATTTAGCTCCCTGACCTGTAATAGGAGACCTCCTGGGGCTGCTCAGCCCAGCCCAGAAAGAAGGCCAGGAATGCAGAGCAGGGTGAGTGGACAATGCAGCTGTAAGCTGAAACTGCCCCGTGGTGCAGAGAAGACAACCAGGCTGGACTGAAAGCAGGCGGGACCCAACCAGGCATGGCTTCCCCAAAGCCCACAGCCAAAGCTAGACCTGAAGGAGCAGGCCATGCCTCTCTCATCTAAGCCCCAGCACCCTCCCGTCCTGCCCCCATGCAGGGCTGGAGGCAAGGCCCGTTCTTCCCCAGACTGTCCAGGAGCAGTGAGGGTCATGAGCTCCCGCCTTGCAGGGCACCCCACCCTAATCTTGCACTCACATAACTTTCTCCATGACTTCTGGCTTCCCTGTGCTTTCTCATCTGCACAATGGAATTGTTTCTTCTCTGCTTACCTCACAGAAGTGCTTAAAGATCAACTGTGCTAATAAACAATCTGCTTTGGAAGCAGGAAGAATGGCGGATGCAAATGCAAGGTGTCATTATGAACCTGCACATTTCCCCTCTTCTGAGGGCAGGGGACCAACTGGCCACATCAGAGCCAGACTGTGATCACACTGGGGCCTTAACTGCATGTCTCTGTGGGATGCCCTCATGATGGGCTTTCCCACTCATCAGTACATTTTAGTGGGAATATGAAACATTCTACATTTATGACCAAAATTTGGCCCTGCATGGCTTTCTCAGGGAACTTTGACCTTTTGGGAAAAACACTGGAATTTAATACCAGAGTGTAGGCTGGGAGAAGCCTTTCACCTGTTGTTCTGATTAGGTGTTCAAAACTGTACAGGGAGCCCATGGGTAGGTGAGCCAGAGCACACGGACGTCACAAAAAGAGGTTTCATGCATGAACGCTTTCCCTCTAGCTCTGTAGAACACCCCCCCAGGTGCCACGGAGAGGACTGGAGCAGTCATGAAAAGCATATTTCAAATGTAACTCAAGGTTCCTAGATATGCTGTTAATCTAGGAATCTAGCCTCTGACTGAGTTTCCACTGGTGCTCCCCTACCTTTTGAGAAGTCTCATTTCTCCACTTAGAAAAGTAGGTAAACCATTTTTTAAAGCTCTTAGTTATTTCTTCTCAAAAATGGACATGTCTTTCAAAGGTAGCTCACTTTGAGGTGGAAGACTTTCTGAGCTTTTCTGAAGGCCATGCCTTAATATTTCACCTCCCACAAACACTCCCAAAGGGATGCTTCTGAATTAAAACATCCATTTCTCAAATATGTAACGGGGAATATTTCTGAAGTGTCTCAGTGGCACTGACTCCTCAGGAAACTAAAATGTGTCCCCTAATCTTTCATATAGAAGATCCCTGTCAAGGCAGTTTATACAACCTTGCACCCTATCAACAGAATGGCCCAGAGTCAGGCCTGTGAGTGGTGGAGAGGCTAAGAAGGAAAAAGGCAGGGCAACTTGGGCCCACTCCTGGCATATCAGCTCTCAAAGCTTGACACAGAAGTGCTTCCAAGGAATTTTTACAGCAGAGACACCACCTAGCCTGCGTGATGGATGCCATTTTCCCACGTGGACCCAGACACACAGATCTCCTATAAAACTAGGTCCCAAAGATCCCAGGGCAAATAAATGCTTTCTGTCCAGCTCTCCAGGTCTTCCCAACAAACTCCACAGGTTCATCCCTTTAACACTTATACCTTGCTCAACCCCGAACCTGATCATCCCATTGCTTCCCAAAGAGGGGCCACCACGGCCTCTGGTCTATCTGTGCACCATCTCTGACAGAGCATGTTCCGAAGCTCAGAAAGTATCTGGAAGATGCACTGTCCCCACTTACTCTGTGCTTTGATAGACTCCCAATGAGATGTTGAGCCCCTCCAGCTCTTCCTTGAGCACCTGCAGGTCTGAGTTCACAAAGCTGAGTTCCAGGCGCACCTGCTCCCGCACCTTTTGGTTCGTGGCTGCTCTGTTAAAAGAAGGGGGAGAGAAATGCTCTCAGCCAAGCATCCCAGCTTCCAGGTCAGCAGGCCACCCAATTCTCACAGGGAAGTTCTAAAATGAATGCCAGATGTGATCAGACAAGGTGTCTCAGAGATGCTGGCCATCTGCCAGTAAGTGAACCTGGGACAGAGCCAATAACCCTGAGCTGTCAGAAACAAATTCTAAGATATATACCTCTGCAAAGAATTAGCCTTGAGAAGAGAAAAGAGAACTACTCCCAATCACCCACAAAAGGCCACAAATTATCCCCTTAAAAGGAAACAGATGAGAAAGTAAAAGAGGATGTAACACTCCCCAGCTCATTTTTTGAGGCTGGTATTGTCCTGACCCCAAAGCAGCAAAAGACATCACAAGAAAAAAAAACAAAACAATAGACATGTTTATGAATATACACATGAAAATTCTCAACAAAATACTGGCAACCCAAATTTAGCAACATATGAAAAGGATTATATACCATGACCCAGTGGGAATTATTCTAGGAATGCAAGGTTGGTTTAACATCTGAAAAATCAATTAATGTAACATACTATATTAATAGAATAAAGGACAGAAACACATGGTCATCTCAATAGATGCAAAACAAGCATGTGATAAAATCCAACACAGATTTGTGATAAAAATTCTCAACAAACTAGGAATTGAAGAGAAGTTAAAACTTACTTGTAGGGAAAATTGAAGTTCCTATGGCCAGGATCCTCACCTGACCCTAAACTACTTGAGGATGTAATTGGCCTACTGCTAAGCTACTGCTTCCACACCCATAGGCAATAAGCTATTATTGACTGAGTCACTTATCTAAAAAGCTCCGCCCAGTGCTCTTTTCAAATTACATTATCTGATACAGAATTAATTACCATGGATTACAGGCCTGCAAACTGCTGGACACAGATGATTCTAGTGCTCGATCTACTGCCATGAGAATAAAGCTGGGTATAAACCTTTTTACCCCAAGAACATTCTGTTGTCATTTCTCAGTCTAACCAAATTTATAGTGAACTTGCCTGGGGTGGAAACCCTCAGGCAAGACACTGATAAAGGGCATTATGAAAACCCACAGCTAACATCATACTTAATAGTGAAAGATTGATGCTTTCCCCCTTATGATTAGGCAAAGATGTCCACTTTTGCTATTTCAGTTCAACACTGTACTGGAGGTTCAAGCCAGGGGCAAAAAGGTAGAGATAAAAGGCATCTGGATTGGAAATGAAGAAGTAAACTGTCTTTATTCATACGACATAATCTGGTGTGTGGAAGATCCAAAGGCACCCACAAAACAAATATCAGAACTAACAAATTTAGCAAGGTCACAGGATACAATTCGATACATAAATTTTATTTCTACATGCTAGCAATTAACAATCCTAACATGAAATTAAGATAACAATTTCATTCACAATAGCATCAAAAAAGAATAAAATAGAATAAATTTAACAAAAGAACCATAAGACTTGTACACTGACAACTATAGAACACTGCTGACATATTAAATGAAGGGACATTCCATGTATATGGATGAGAAGACTCACTACCGTCAAGATGTCAACTCTCCCCAACTGGTCTATCCATTCAATACAATTCCAGTACAAACCTCAGTAAGCTTTTTAGTAGAAACTGACAAGCTGATCCTAAAATCTATATGGAAACACAAAAGACCTATAATAGCCAAATAATTTTGAAAAGCACTAAGTTGGAGAATATGCCACCCAATTTTAAAAGATAAAGTCACAGTACTCAAGACAATGTAATATTAGCATAAGGATAGGCAATGGAACAGAATAGAATCCAGAAATAAATGCTTACATTTATGGTCAACTGATTTTGACAAAGGTGACAAGACAGTCCAAGGGGGTTAAGAGCATTTCTGACAAATGGTACTGAGGCAACGAGATATCTCTAGGTATGTCAGCATCACCAAGACCACTCTAGTTCAGTGATTTGCTAGGAGGACTCAAGGACTCAGAATGTAGTTGTCCTGATTTATTAGAGCAAAAGGACACAAAGCAAAATCAGCAAAGGGAAAGGTGCGTGGGGTGAGGTCTGACAAAAACTTCAGGTCAGGCACAGGTTTTTGCTAAGAATCCTCTCTCCCAGAAGAGTCACACAGGACACATCGAATCCCTTCATCAAAGAGTTGTGACAAACAAACCGATACAGGCTTATAAATACAGAGAACAAACTGGTGGTTGCCAGAGGGGAGGGGGCCTGGAGGATGACCAAAGAGGTACAAACTTCCAATTATAAAACAAATTAAGTCACAGGGATGAACAGTACAACATTGGGAAGACAGTCAGTAATATTTTAACAACCTTGTATGGTGACAGATAATGACTACACTTATCGTGGTGAGCATTTTGTTGAATCACTACGTTGTATACCCGAAACTAATATGGTATGTTAACCATACTTCAGTTAAAAAAAAAAGAGCTGTGACAACACATGTGAAATGCTATCTACCAAGGAAACTCATTAGTGCCAGGGTTTTTACTGGGGGTTGGTCAGGTAGGCACTCTGCCTAGTAGGTTCCAAATTCCAGGCTCCTAGAAGGAAAGCAGGTGTTCAGCATAAACCACATGGTTTGTACAAATAGTTTAGGCACAGTGAGCCCCTCTGACCAGTTCTGGGAATGGTAGACACTCTCCTGAAATCTAAGTTTTCAGATACCAATCAAAAGCCAACCTTGCAAGGTTGTCCTTAGAAAGGACAGCCATCTCAGGCCTGCCAGGACAACTCTTTTCTGCACAATAGGCAAAGGGTAAGTCTCAATTTAAATCTCATACCATGCACAAATATTAAGTCAAAATGGATCAGATACCTCAATATGAGCTCAAACTCTAAAACTTCTGGAAGAAAATGTAGGAGAAAATCTTCACAATCTTGGGTTGACCACAGTATTCTTAGCTGTACACCAAAAGCACAATCCATAGAAGAAGAAATTGATAAATTGGATCCCATCACATTTTAAAACTCCTGTGTTTCAGAAGACTCCATTAAAAAAATAGAAAAGACAAGCCAAACACTGGGAAAAAATATTTGCAAATTATATATCTGATGAAGAATTTGATTTGTATCCACATTATATAGAGTTTTGTTAATGAAAAAAATTTAAAAACCCAGTTTTTAAAAATGGTATGAACTTTAAAATTTTTAATTGAGGGGTAAGTGATATACAAATTATGTTAGTTTCAGAGGTACAACATAATGATATAGTTGTATATATTGCAAAATGATCACCACAATAAGTCTAGTTAATATACCATCATCTACAGTTACAGAACTTTTTCCCTTCTGATGAGGACTCAGCAACATTCAAATATGCAACAGAGTATATTATCAACTATAGTCACCATGCTGCATATTACATCCTGATGACTTATTTATTTTATAACTGGAAGTTTGTACCTTTTGACTCCCTTCACCCATTTTGCCCCCACCTCCTAACACCTGTCTCTGGCAACCAGCAATCTGTTCTCTGTATCTATGAGCTTGGTTTTGTTTGTTTAGCTTCTACATATGAGTGAGATCATACCTCTATTTGTCTTTGTCTGACTTATTTCACTTAGCATAATGCCCTCAGGGTCCACTCATGTTGTCACAAATGGAAAATTTTCATTCTTTTTTATGGCTGAATAATATTCCATTGTATATACATAACATTTTCTTTATCCATTCATCCATGATGTATACTTGGGTTGCTTTCATATCTTGGTTATTGCAAATAAGGCTGCAACGAACATGAGGGTGCATATATCTTTTTGAGTTTTAGTGTCCTTCCTTTCTTTGATAAATACTCATAAGTGGAATTGCTGGATCATAGTAGCTCTATTTTCATTTTTTTTCCATACTCTTTTCCATTGGCTGTACCAATTTACATTCTCACCAACAATGCCCAAAGTTTCCCTTTCTCCATATCCTTGCCAACACTTGTTATTTCTTTTTTTTTCTAATAATAGCCAAAGAAGTGCGGGATGATATATCATTGTGGTTTTGATTTGCATTTCCCTGGTGAGTAGTGATGTTGAACACCTTTTCATGTATCTATTGGACATCTGTGTTCTTTAGAAAAATTTCTTTTCAGATCCTCTGCCTATTTTTTTAAATTAAGGTATCATTGATACACAACCTTAAGAAAGTTTCAAATGAGCAACATTGTGGTTACAACATTCACCCATATTGTCAAGCCCCCCCACCCACCCAATTGTAGTCACTGTCCAACAACGGAGTAAGATGCTATAGAGTCACTACTTCTCTGTGCTATACTGCCTTTCCCATGACCTACCTATATTATGTGTGCTAATTAAATGCCCTTTAATCCCCTTCTCCCTCCCTCTCCACCCACCCTCCACAGCCCCTTCTCTTTGGTAACCACTAGACCCTTCTTGGAGTCTGTGAGTCTGCTGCTGTTCTGTTCCTTCAGTTTTGCTTTGTTGTTATACTCCACAAATGAGTGAGATCATTTGGTATTTGTCTTTTTCCACCTGGCTTATTTCACTGAGCATAATACTCTCTAGCTCCATCCATGTTGTTGCAAATGGTAGGATTTGTTTCCTTATGGCTGAATAATATTCCATTGTGTATATGCACCACCTCTTCTTTATCCATTCATCTACTGATGGACTTTTAGGCTGCTTCCATGTCTTGGCTACTGTAAATAGTGCTACAGTAAACATAGGGGTGCATATGTCTTTTTGAATCAGGAATCCTGTTTTCTCTGGGTAAATTTGTAGGAGTGGAATTACTGCCCTGCCCATATTTTTTGCCAATATGTTTATATTGGGTTTTTTTGCTACTGAGTTGTCTGAGTTCTTTATGTATTTTGGACATTAACCCTGTATCAGATAATGTGATTTGAAAATATTTTCTCCCATTCCATAGGTTGCCTTTTTATTTTCTTGATGGTTTCTTTTGCTGTGCAGAAGCTTTTTAGCTTGATGTAGTCACACTTGTTTGTTTCTGTTGCCTTTG